ATCTGAACGATCGATACCCTTTTCCAACCAAACAAAACGCGCAATCAAAATGCTAGGACTAGGAGTTCTAGCGCTCCTCCCCCTCGCAGCGGCGAAGGCTGTACGGCCGCGATCCACTGCATGCAATAACTCCCCAGACTTGTGTTCCAAGTCATACGGAGAAATCACTCACCTGGGCGCACACGACAGTCCGTTTCTACGAGATGCCTCGACAGATTACTCTACCTTTGGAGACCAGTAAGTTCAATTGGGAAGGCAGAACAGCAATGCAGTTGGTTGACCAGTTCACAGATACTACAACACCACACTCCAGCTTGATGCTGGTGTCCGTCTTGTCACAGCTCAAGTTCATAAGTCGAATTCACAGTGGCGTCTATGCCACTCTAGTTGCGATTATCTAGACGCAGGATTGTTGAGCACATGGCTGTCAGATATCAAAGGCTGGCTGGACTCCAACCCCAATGATGGTACGTTAGTAGCAGACTGCAATTACTCCCAAAAGAGCTAAGAACTGACATCTTCCGTCAATCACCAGTTGTGACTGTTTTGCTGGTCAACTCCGATGATGCAACGGCTTCTGATCTTCACTCGCAATTCGAAACGGCCAGTCTCACCAACTATACCTACACTCCGACCTCCCAAACCTCCGCACCGAGCTCGTGGCCAACATTGCAGGAACTGATCAATAATGGTACCCGGTTGATGACTTTCGTGGCATCTTTGGACGCCTCAAACAACACGGTAGCACCGTATCTGATGGATGAGTTCACTTTCATCTGGGAAAACAACTACGATGTGACCTCCGCTTCCAACTTCTCCTGTGAGCCCGATCGTCCTTCGAGCGTCAAAGACGAGCTATCCACCGCCTTGTCTTCCAACCGCCTCCCGTTCATGAACCATTTCCTCTATCAAGAGACTTTGGACATTGAGTATCCCAACGTCAGCTACATTTCCACCACCAATGCGGCGTCTGGAGGAACGGGAAACCTTGGCGACACAGCAACCAAATGCAAGAAGGAGTACAATGGCCGTCAGCCTACCTTTATCCTGGTTGACTTCTTCGACAAGGGACCCGCCATCGATACCGTGGACAGTTTGAACAATGTTACCAACGCTACTGGACGGACGAACCTGACTTCCGTCAGCGTTACCAGCTCGGCCTCCACCTACTCCAACGTTTTCAAGGGTCTGGTCGAAGTCGTCCAGAAAGCCAAGGACGGAGCGAATCCCAGCATGGGAGAGTGGATCTGGGCTGGTGGAGATTGGGGAAGTCTGCTGGGCGGCGGTATTGCAGTCTAAGCTGACCGCTGTGACCTCATACTTTCTTTGGAATCTTCACCGTCCTTTCACCCTTCATTTTGATTACTAGCCTATTTAGTACATTGTCATTTTGCATCTATTCCACATATTTACAGTTGCAACATCAGCGCTGGATTTCAAAGTTTTGGACGAGCCTCACGACATTCCTTTGCTATATACATGGTGGGGGGTACCAGGTTGGCGTTCGGATGATTATCATATTTTGCACAGTGTACCTAACTGATATGACCGTTTCACCATGTCCATAAGCAGCGATAGCATGTAAAAGAAAGGTGCAACTACGGGAGCATATCCACTCAATCGAGCATCACCGCACATCCCCTTGTGGTCTCTTACTCAGTCGTTTTTCAACAACTCACGGACCTTGTTCACTTTATCCTCAAAGGACTGCTCCTTATCGGTCCTGCAAGCAAGAAGAGTTAATCATCTTAGCCTGTGTAACGACACCCCACCCAAGCCTCTAGATAATCAACAGTCCCCAGAAAAGAAGCAAACAAACAAGAAAATCCAAAGAAAAGAAATATGATTACACACCTCGAACCAACACGAATATCCGTCTGAATTCTCACGATACCCTGCTGATGAAGAATCGTATGCGCCTGACCAATAACCTGATGAACTCTATCCCAAGGACCCTCTATGATAGTAGAACCCGTCAGTCAGGAAGCAGCCAATAAAGCCATACCCATGCGCACGCGCACACATCAATACAATATAACTAGTACAAAAGTATGCTAATAGTACTATCGGAAGATAAATTTCCACATACCGAGTGTGGTGCCAGCTGAATGCATGACGTATTTCAGGCCGGATTTCTCAATAAGGCGCTGAACATCGGCTATTTGGGCGGACACGGAAGGGGATGAGGTGCCGATCTACTATCGTTAGTATAGTGTAAGTGTAGGTTTTTAGCGAAGTTTACTAAAGTTGGAGAATGCATATGGGGATCTGGGTTAGAGGTTTGTGGTTCGTGGGTATGCATGTGGAATGGATGATTGATTGATTGATTGATGCTGGACGGACATGATGGGAATGATTGAATGAATGTATCACGTCACTTCCATCCTTGAACCGGGTATTGATTGCATGGGTAAAGATGCGGGAATAGTCAAGCAGCATGATGCAAATCACTAGTTTCAAGGAATGGAATGGTTAACCCACTGGGATCAAACAGAAATCGGCGGTGCAGTGCGGGGGAGTCGGGATGGATGAGGATGTGTCGGCCATGTTTGTTGTGCAGAACCAGATTTGAAATTAGATCGTAAGTAGTAAGTGAGTATTTAATTCTAATAGAATGGAGGATCTGGTTGCGTATGAGAAATGATTTCTACTGGAGGATGGGAATGGATTGACAAGTGGAAGCAGCCAGCCACTTTTTTTGGCGGGCAGTGAGGAGAGGAGTTCATCAGCAAAGCGCGGGGCCTTAACGGCGGACGGAGGGGCAATCGTGACTTGCAATCAGTTCGCACTGACTGATTGCAGTCTGATCCCCCATTACACCACTCCATCAGGAGATGCGTATTGGCTAAGTACTACTAGTAGTTTACTCCGTAGTATAATCATCGGAATTGTTCGTTACTCGCTTCTCTATGGTGGAATATAATCCCACCCGCTCTCTGAGGAAAAGCTGGCAGGCAACTCCACCGGCAAAGATCTGTACGTTTCCGCGGACGACAACGCATGACCAGAACCAAGATGGAAGACGTATCTTGAGCACAATGCGTTGCTGTGGATGACGATCGGTTTGTGAGGTCTCATATCTGAAGCCAACTTTACCCTGGCGAAACCCGACCGGGAGGAATTAGTGCTCCTTCGATGCAGGTTTGCTTATGGTTTTTCTCTTCTTTCTTCCCCGGATCCCAGCGCCTCCAGCAGCATCATGACCGGTTTGTACTAAATTTGGACCGACGGCCGAGGATGTCCCTAAGACTCACTATCAACTAGACTAGACTACTGCTGTGGGTGTGGGAAGATGGATCTGGATCTAACGATCCTGGGGCAGATGCTAGTTTTACTAGCGAATCGTTTGTCCGATTTTCCCTTTGGTGACCCTCTTTTTCTATTCCTTGCTCTTATTTCTGGTTTTTTTAAAAAACAAGTCAATAATAATTGTCCCACCCTGTTCCTATAGGGGGGAAACACAACTGACAAGAGGACATATGGCCAACAATGGCCTGCAAAGAAGACAAAGGAGGTGCTCGAGGCTCTGGCAGGATAAAACGGGAAGGAAGAACGCCATTCAATAGTCAAATCGCACTGGGCCCTTAACTTGGGTCGTCTGTCATCTGCAATTGTTTCGGTCCGCCCCTCTGGTACCAAATTCACATTCACCAACCTAGATTTATCGACTTCTCTTGCCTCGTGGCTAATCTCCTATCCTCACTGGCTTCGCTCACCCTCCTTGATCAATTTCATTTTCAGCTGAGATCACTTTCTTCTCTTTCAGTTGGCGGACTCTCCTTCTGAACAGCCCATCCGACCGGGTGTGACGCAGCCCTGCTGGTCCGACCGTTTTGTCTTCCAGTGCGCTTCGTTAGTTTATCCCGATAGTTCACTAGCGACTACGGCAATATCGCTCGCATGATTTAGCATATTCCGTGACGTTCAGTCAACTCTATCTACCTTGTACTCCTCACCCTCGACCTCCAACCGGCGTCTGCTCAGCTGTCCACGTTGCTGACCGCCTCTTCTCGTCGCGGTGCAGCATCCAGGACCCGGGCTCTGTCGACGTTTGCGTGCCCGACGCCTTGCGTTTAAGCGCTCACCCAGATTTCGCTTCGGACGGTAATCACTACTCGTTTCTTTTCTCATTTACGAAGTCTTTCTTATCTTGCCACAGTATTGGCTAGCTGCTCGTGTCGCTTGAAGCGTCAGAGGCGCGGCGTGGTAACTATACTAAGACCTTTCGAGATAAATCTGCGCGCCGTGATATGATTGGCATGGGATCCGCCTAAGGCTCGCACGGCCAAGCGCCACGGGGCTGCGACGACCTAATCCCTGCACAAGGCTCGTCCTTCCCAGATCTAGCGACTGTCGCCACTAGACGCAATCGGGTTGGGGGATTTCCCTCCAGAATCCCTGAGCTCATCACTTGCCGTGCGGGTGATCGAGTAGGCCTTAATTACTGAGATCGATCACCTTGAGAATAGTGGGCACAGTCCGTTCGATTTCATCGAGCAGCTGATCCTCCCATCCGCTGAGAGCCAATTGGCCGATTGTAAAGAGGCTCCGTACTTGCAAAAAGCGTCAAGACTGGTCTGGAAGAGAGACAGCTGAAGAGACAAGATTCGCCCGGCTGTTGAACTAGTATTTTAGATCAGCTACTCCCCTCTCTCCACGTTCAGGCTCGCGCTGCGCTGGACGCTTATCCATCGCCCTGGAAGGCCCAGTGTCCGTTTTAAGTGATTTGCATCTGCGTACATGAAGAGGCTGCATGTTCCCTTTTCCACTGCACACTGAATTCTTGCCTGCTGCGCCTCGGACTTTTTCCTTGCGGGACTAATTCAAGCCCACGTGACTCTATACATCACGTTGCGCGCATACCACGGAGCTAGAACGTTTGCTGTTACTATATTAACCAGGGCTGTAGCGTTCTTGCGGACATTTGCTTGTGGCATTTGTCATGGTTTTTTCCTCAGTCGACTACCATCGTCATTGTTCGTCTTCCACTTACCTGACCAATGACAAAGCCCAATCTACTAGAGCTCCCCGTAGGAGCTCGGCTCGTTTACCTCGCGGAAGGCGGCGCCAATGTCATCTATCGAATCCTCGCTCCACCAGAGATGGACTTTGATGGAAGAAATGACCTCTCTGCCACTGTTTCCAACTCACTACCTAGCACAATAGGTACATTCCAGGTGCCTGCCAAGTTTAAGGGTAAACTGCTTCGACTCCGCAAGGATACGAGCGCAGGCATCTCTTATCAGGAGATTGCACGCAATTTTGACAGATGCATTCGTCCTCTTTTCAAACCAGAAGAGCTGGTTGATCAGGAGCTCGTTTATCTCCCCAGAGGGCTCGTTCAAGGGTGCAATGAACAGCTACAGGCAGCAGAGCGAAGCGGCCAGCGTCCAGAACGACGCCAAGGGGTGTACCTCTCTACGGTGGAGCCGTTTGGGCTACTCATAACAGACATGACTACATTCAGCATTCCCGGAACGACGCTCTCAGAGTTGAAACCTAAGTGGCTAATTCAATCCCCCTCTGCACCCCCGAACTCCCGGAGATGCCGAACTTGCGCACTCCGCGATATGAAGAACCAAAAGGCGCGCAAGAAGGGATTGGCGGAAGAACAATCATTCTGCCCCTCGACCTGGTATCTGACAGGTTCGACAATGTCCTCCGTGCGGCCCAATTTGTCACGGGATGCAAAGACCAGCCACGGCTGGCAAAAGTACTTTATCGAAATGGAACGCTGCAGAGGCTCCTGACACATCAGAAAGCCTTACAGGATGTGGGGCTTTATGGTCCACCGCCAAGTTCGCGCGAAAAGTCGCTTGCGATGACGCTGCGAGACTGTACAATGTTCATAAGGGTAGGTACATCCATAGCTTTCACCAGCACGCCACGTGTCCGCTAACATCAGCATAGATGCCACGCGACGATTCCGGCCGTGTGGAGATTAGGCTGGGCGATTTGGACCTCAAAACCGGGGCTGGCGGGAAAGCCAAGTACTGGCTGGACCTGGAGCACCAATTGATCGTGGAGGACTGGTACGCAGGGGCCAAGAACAACGTATCGGAAAGCGAGTGTGCTCAACAGAGTCCACGGGCGCATTCGCAGTCCTCGATATAGGGGTCCGTAATAACTTGTCTTGCACTACTTCCTGCGTCTTACAGCAACAATATGCAATAGAAGCGGCGATTATAGGGGTTCACAGCACCCTATTGAGGTGTGCACCAGGCGACCCATTATGGAATGTCGCACGGTAATGATTGACGGCCTTTCTCTTTCTTCATTTCTCGTGCATCGTGGTTTTTGATATCATGTTTTTACTCACTTTTTAAATGTTCGGTTGGCACATTTGCTTCATTATCATGTTGCTTGCATTTTATCGGGGCAGGGAGGGTCAGTGATACGTCTTGCTACAAATTCGATGCATCTCTTCTCCGGTTTCGGTCTTGCTTCTTGCTTGATGTGTACACTAGTTACTTAGGGATTCACATCTTTACTCTATGGCTTTGTTGATTAATGTATACACTTCCGCAGTGCTTCATATCATCTCATAGCAGTATCTGCGTCTCTAGTATAAATCAGCCTAGTCTCTAACTATTATCAACACAGCGATTATCCCACCAAGTAAATGACGTCACCCGCTCACCCAAAGCCAGCATCGGGATATCCGACCGAATACCCCGAACGGAGGCCCAATTTCACCGACCGACCTCGAAGCCCAGAGAAGGAGAAAGACAAGGACTAGTATACTCAATGCAATAATCAAAAGTAATAGAACCCCACAATTGACATCAACAATTCTCCAGCGCGGAGGAAGTCTTTGCCCTTACCAATCAGTCGCAGTCCAAGTAATTGACTATCCAAGGAACTTACAACGTACAGTAATCGTTGATGTCTATTAATAAGCGTTTTCATCCGTAATTCCGCGCCGCCCTCGCCTCAGGCTTACTTCCGCGGATGCGCTTTTAACGGCTGGGAGGAAGAGGAAGAAACAGGTGTTGTCGTTGTTGTTGATCATGCGGTTACATCTCCTGGGATTGATCGGGATCTGTCTAGCGGGACTTGCATTATTGGTCTTTACCGAGAAAAATAACATTAATCTTTTTGCTGCGACGACACATACAAATATCATGGCTGTCCCGAGGGTTCTTGCTCGTCGGGTTTTCCGTTCTTCGTCTTCTTCGTTGTTTGGATTACGGGGCAATAATCTTGCTGCTGTTAATACGCCTTCGCCTTTGGTGACTACTACTACTGCTGCTGCTGCTGCTACTTCTGCTGTTAGACCGTTTTCGTCGACTGGATCAGTGAAGATGCCTTCTCAAATGCCTAGCTCTGGTGCGCTCGTGGATTTGGCCAAGGGTCGCCATTCCATTTACAAGCTCGGGAAGAATAGCCCCGTGCCGGACGAGAAGATCGAGGAGCTTGTTAATCAGGCTATTTTGAATGTTCCTAGTGCTTTTAATACGCAATCGACCAGGTTGGTTGTTCTGTTGCATAAGGAGCATGAGCGCCTTTGGGATATCACGATGGATTTGTTCCAGGCCCGTGTGAAGGAGGGGACGCTGCCTGAGGAGATGTGGAAGAATCAGACGCAGCCGAAGCTGCAGGGCTTTAAGGATGGATTGGGAACTGTAAGTGATTATCTCAAATGATTGGGTTTATGCCGGGATGTCATGCTAATTGAGTGGTTAGATTCTCTTCTATGAAGACCCCGCGCACATCGAGCCTTTCAAGGAGAAGTTCCCTGCCTACAAGGACCAGTTTGAGCCTTGGGCCCACCATACTAATGCTATGCATCAGTACTTCTGTATGTCTTTGATCCCTGCTTGATTTTGACCTTAGGATCGTAATGCTAATGGATACAGTGTGGATCGGTCTTGAATCTCTTGGCTTCGGTGCCAACTTGCAGCATTATAACCCGCTTATCGATGCTCCTGTGGCCAAGCAGTGGGATATTCCTACTGACTGGCGGCTTATCTCTCAGCTGGTGTTTGGTAGCCCTGAAGTAGAGGGCCAGGAGAAGCCGAAGAAGCCCATTGAGGAGAGAGTGAAGGTTTTTGGCAAGTTGTAATTGTGCTAGCTGGTGGTGGCTTGGTCAGTTCGCTTTGTGTCTGTTAGAGACTAGATGGTTTGTAAGTTGGCGCAGCATCAATCCAGGATTTAGGATCAATGCAATATAAATATTGCTAGAAGTCTAGATGCGTTTAGAAAGTCATTCCAGATTTGAGGCCATGCTAAGGATAGATTGTAGTGTATTGACACTGCATCGAACTGTTATATTTTTGAAATGAAAATGAGGGCGATACGAGGAGTTGATATTGGAAGAATTTGCCTGGATGGTATGTTCATCTGATATACAGTAACCCGAGTGACTATTAACCTATCGTCTACTGAACAGACCAGCTAATGTCGAAAATGCAGCATGTTCATATGGCTACCTTATTATACATACCCCAAAAAGCACACCAATCGAGGAAAGAAGATACCACTCCTTCCCATCCCAGATACCCTTCTTGAGCCTTCCTCCAGCAACTACAACATCTATTCCTTCCCAATACTGTACATTCAGCAAGACAAACCACCCAACATGATATACCTAAAAGCAAACCATCCTCAATTGACCATAACCGCCTAGTCATATCACTCTTCTACACCCTCCATCCCTCCCTATCCATAACCAACCCCATTCGTTGACCTATCCTTATTATATTCATACACCATGACCAAACTCCTAGCAACAACCCTCACCCTCATCTTCACCATCCTCTTCCTCCTCCCTCACAGCAGCTCCAGCCACCCCATCAACGAAACCACCCATCATTCCTCCGCCGTCCCCTACGGCCTGCTAATCACGCACTGCACCGTCCCCAACACCATCGCCCTAACCTTCGACGACGGGCCCTCAACCTACACACCCCAGCTTCTCGACCTCCTCAGCGAATACGGCGCACGCTCGACCTTCTTCGTGAACGGCTACCGACTGCAGGAGAGTGCTCCCATCTTACAACGTATTTACAACGAAGGGCACCAAATAGCCTCACACACGTAAGTCCATCCCACCATTTCACTGACCATCACCATCATCTTCCTGCACAATGATGCATATACTAAGTACTTAGATTCGGGCACTCCTTCCTCCCCGCCCTCGACAACCCCACCATCATCAACGAAATGAACACCCTTGAGTCCCTCTTCCGGACCTTCATCGGTCGAGTCCCGACGTATATGCGCCCGCCCTTCCTAGCCGTGGACGGACGGATCCTCGCATTGATGACGGACCTCGGATACCATGTAATCGGGGCGAGTGTGGATACCAAGGACTATGAGAATAATACGCCGTGGTTGATTGGGGAGAGTGTGAGGAACTTTGTGGAGGGGGTGCAGGCGGGCGGGACGGTGGTGTTGGCGCATGATACGCATGCTCAGACGGTTTGGACTTTGACGAGGGTTATGTTGGAGGAGAGTAAGAGGAGAGGGTTGGTTGGTACGTTGCCCCTTCCTGGAATTGTATTTGGGATGTGTTGTGAGTGAGAGAGTGGTGCTAATGATTGTTGTGTTTAGCTACGACTGTGGCGGATTGCTTGGGGGAGCCGATGGATTTTTGGTATCGTTAGATGTGTTGATTAAGAAGGGGTGTTGTGGTGCAGTCAGTGTAGAATGTTATATATCTTGCATGCGAGTCACGCTTCTACGTTCATTTGCTCCTTTTCAGTTTGTTGAAGTCTGTAAGCCGTTTCAATTAGATACAACTCGTAAATATATATATCCTGTAGTATAACCGATCCTCCGTAAACGCCCCACCTATTTATCTATACCATGATGCTTGAAATGAATATCACCACAACTCCAAGCCCAACACCCCAAATGCAATACTATACAGACGAGCACAAATTAAAAGAAATCCTTCTCATCCAACCACTGCGTATCAATCGCATACGCCACCAAATCCGCCGCACAACACATATCCTCATGGCCACTCTCCAAATCCAACAACTCCAGAACAGCCTGCAACCGATCCTCCAGCGTCTTCTTCAGCTGAGAGATATATTCCTGCGTCGCAGCCGTCACTCTCGGCCTGTACTCCAGCTGCTGCTGGTGCTGCTGCTTTATCTTCTCCAGCGGAGATTTCGCTACCTGCTTCTTTGCACCTCTATTAGGCGAGCAGGGCGCAAGAGGCTGTCGAGCAGGTGTAGTCGGTGCCGTGGGTGCCGCCTCGCTCTTTCTGTTTTTGAATAGGGACTTGAGTAGGAATACGAGCCAGACGAGGTTGGTTCGTGGGGCGTATTCGGCCCAGATGCCTGGGATGTCCGGGGATTTTTCGGTCTTGAGGGGTTCGCCGTGGTAGACTTCGGCGCGCATGCTGTGGGTTGTTGTTGTTAGTTAGTCCGGATATTTTATTGGGGATGTTTGTAGTCTGGTGGGAAAGGGTACGTACTATCTGTAGGTATTCCGTAGCATGATCTCATCTTCGTCGCGGCCGATGGCGTCGAAGATTTGTTTCTTATCTAGATCTGAGGAGGCGACTTCAACGTGCTCTGCTTCTTCGCCCGTGCGTAACGCGGCGCGGGAGAGGGAGTAGTCGATGATGGTGGTTTCGAGGGTGCTGAGTCCGAAGCCACTTGTGAATGACTGGCTGATGATTTCGTGGTCGGTCGGTGGATCCATGCGGCCTTCGGGGCGTGTGCTTCGTATGCAAACGTTACCGAGGTGGAGATCTCGATGCTGTGGTTATGTTAGTGATAGTGTTATGGTATTCTGAAGACTGGGTGCAAACCTCGAATAATGCGTATTCCTCCGCCCGTGCAAGAGCCATTGCGACTCCCCAGAAGATGTCGTAGATCTGGAAGATGGATGACCAGGAGAACTTTTCCAGCTCACAGCCAGCATCGTCCATCTCAATGATTGCCCAGAGTTGTGAGTCGGGGTAGGCCCGTTTACTAGACGGGTTTGGGTTCAGACAGTCGTCCTTGGTCTTCTTGTAGTAGTCCCACGCCGTTTGAAAGTTCTCTGGGAAGCGACCCTGAACGACGTGGATCTCCCGAAAGCGAGCGAACCCGGGGATGGGATCGAGATACTTGAGCATCTTTACTTCGGAGACAATTTCCTCGATGCTAGTGAATTTCTTCGAACCAGGGCCACTCTGCGCGCGCAGAGGGACCACCTTGAACACGCCATCACCGTAAGCCTTTAAGCGCGCAAGTTTGGACTTGGACATCTCCTTTTTGCACAGCTCCTCCCGCAGGCGTAATTTATAGACTTCTCCGTAGGAACCCTCTGCGATCTTCACCACTTCTAACAAGTTGCCTGCCCGGGCGGCCCATGATCCAAATTTTTGTACGCTCTGCGCGGCGACCGGAGATAAGGCTTCGTTCAGAATTGGCCGAACGTAGGCATTTGCCTTCTCGTCTGTGACGCAGCCGGATGATAGTCGCGGTGCTGGCTTGTCCTTTTTTGCAGATCGCCGCCCGCTCTCTGTTGTTCCTCCGGTAGCTTGCTTGCGCCTCCGAGGTCTCTCGACAGACACCGTCGGGCTAATCCTCACTTCGACCATCGTCTCGTACTTTGTAATTTTGTTAGTGTTGCGGGTTGGCGACAGCTGTTCGGACCGGGATGGCTCGTCTTGCGGTTCGGATACAGGGGCGGGTGTCGCTTCCGGCATAGGTGTTTCTTGTTCAGTCTCATTAACTTGGATGTCCTTCTCGTCAACTTCTTCGACCTTGACCTCCTTTTCCTCAGGCTCCTCCGGCTCTGTCTCTTGAGGCACAGGCTCGTCTATCGTAACCTCAGCCAGCTTCTCTCTCAGGCCCTCCACAGCACCCCGAACGGCTTTTTTCGCTTCCTTTTCCAAATCCTTGGCTGGACTTCGCTGCTCAAACACTGCCCTAGGCGCATCCGCCCTTCGTTTCCCGTACACCTTTCTCTGTGTGCTTGTGCGTGTTCTGGTGGCTGGTCTCGATATCCATTGTCCAGGGGTTGTTTTGTCGGCCGCTACACCAGGTGAGGATGGGGATAGCATGGTGATGTGGTAGTGTGAGGGTCGAGTGATCCTGATAGAGTTGGTCCTAGTGGCTCAATGAGCCTAGCGCCCGCGTGTATTCAAGAATGTGCCCAAGATTGAGGAGAGCAGCAGCTGCGGCGAGATTCGGTGGAAGCCACTGATGCTTACCAGGGCTATTGATACCTTTCCTAATCAGGAATAGTTCCTTGGTTGCTGGGGTATGTGCTGCTTATGTAAGTGGATCGTCATTGCCATTCTGAATCATTCATACTTTGTAGGAAAGGGAGCTCAAGTGGAAGGTCAGTCCGATTCTGATAGTAGTGCTCATGGCTATCTATCTCTTTTCTTAAAAGTGCTTCACTGTCTCATTGAATTAACCTAATGTTTTCATGGTGTTTCTCTACTCCAACTTCAAAAGAAGATGCTGATGTCTGGAAATATAATTCAGAATTGTAAAATTTTTATACCGAGCTCTCAATTGGTAGTACCAAGCCCGAGGGAGATGTAGCTAGGAAGACAAGGCTCTAGCATGAAATTTCCCGACCAGAGGGACAACAATGAATTTGACTTGTGATTATTGAAGGGCTCTGAGTGGTGATAGTAAGGTTCCGAGCTGGAAGGGCCGGAATGAAAGGAAAGGCCTCGGCAAGCTCGTGTATCGGAGGCTTTCCGTGGATTGACCTGCCAGAGACTTTTGGGCAAGTCACCTGCCACATTAGGAATATCTAGCGCAATGTTTGGCTCCCCAAAGAGGTAGCAGACTACCGATCACATCCCTGGTAGACTATGGACGTTAGTGACATGCATATATCTAGTTTTTGAGACTCGTTAGTTAGATAGGAGTCATAGGAAAAAGACATGGACGACTTCGGAGATGTACCCCGTACTCCGTAAATAGAGTATGGAGATGGAAAAGGGAAATGGGACGGGTGGATCGGCACAGGATTCCACTGCTTCTGGCCCGTCAAATCCAGCACGGGCCTGGCAGTGAAATTGCGAGGATGGGCGGGCTGGACGGGAAGAATGATACGATGGAGTGTTTGAGATGGGGAGATTGTAGTCTACTAGATAGAAGGATGAATGTATGTCGACGGATAAGAGGATGGATGACATGAGACCCATATTCCTGCCTGGGGAGCATGACGATCGGTGCCTCATGACACGCGATGACCAGTTAATTTGGATGGCCGGTTTTACAGTCGGAGGAGATCGGAAGTAAGCAAACTACACACAGTCTTTAAAAGGAGGGCTTTGCTGTGCTGCTCTTTCTGCTATTGTAATTTTGCCGGTGCTGCGGGTTACTAGTGTATTACCGCTATGACCTACCGTTGTGCGGTGACGTTATTCCTGCCGCTGGGGAAAATTTTCTATACCCTACCTTCACAAAGAATCATCCCAGGAGATTTGTAGTTTGGCTGATAGCTGTAGACAGGCTAGTAGTGTGATTTACAAATAACAGACAGCATCTGGATAATCTCTTGTCTACTAAAATAGGAGAATACCCACGATGAAAGAACCCGACTGAGCCGCCGCGTAGATCACGCGAGCGCAACACCACTGAACTAAGTACTGTAACCACCAAAACCGTAAAACTGACTGGCCGGACGCTCGGGATTCCTCGCCTTCTTTTTTCTTTCCATCCGTCGCCCTTTTCATCTTTTCCCTTCATTCCGGCTTATCGGCGCATCAACCCTTCCTCGCCCCTCTCCCTTCTTTCTCACACTCACTCACACTCACATACCTTCTACCTTCGACGGCGATACCTCCGCACTCCCGCCTAATTCTCAAATACGTCTCGATATCCCTTTGCGTCCTGTTGTCGATTATCCCACATTTTCCCCATGTCGCCGCCTCCGCTGAAATAAAACTCAACCCATCATTGAATGACCCGCGATGGCGTTCAACTTCAACTGGTCGCCGTTAATGGCGGACGCGAGCTTCTACACTCGCGCTCAGGAGCTACTCACTGCCGCCTTGAATAAATCGCCAAAACCGCCGATTATCGTGGACGATATCCATGTCACCGAACTCAATCTCGGTTCTATCCCGCCCGAGCTGGAGATTTTGGAAATCGGAGACCTGGCCGAGGATCGCTTTAGAGGCATCTTTAAGATGTCCTATACGGGCGACGCCTTTCTGACCCTGAAAACCCGCGTCCAAGCAAATCCGCTCAATACCTATCTTCTCACCCGACCGTCCTTTGCGACTCCCTTGCCGGTCGCTGCAGCGTATGTGTTGTTGGATTTCCCTAATACGCAGCCAAGCGCATCCTTGCTGACCTGATCGCGACGAATTGCAGAACTCCCTTGACTATTCCCCTTCAAATCACCCTTTCCGATTTCAAACTTTCCGGCTTCGTTATATTAGTCTTCTCGAAGCAAAAAGGCATCACAGTTGTCTTCCGAAATGACCCCCTTGAGTCACTCAAGGTGTCGTCGACATTCGACTCGATCCCCTTTGTGCGTGACTTTCTACAGCGAGAAATAGAAGGCCAGCTTCGCGTTTTGTTTATGGATGAGTTGCCCGCCATCATTCATCGCCTGTCTCTCCGATTATGGGTTCCAGAATACCGGGCTGGAGAGGAAATGGCTAATCGCACTACCAACACCGCGGGTGAAGGACCTGGCCAGGATCCTCTGGCGAGTCCTCCGCAGGATCCCGTGGATGCTCAGGGCAACGCTTTGGATGAATCAGAGATCGCTTCGCTTTCGTTGGATTCCTCGGTCGAGACGCACTCCCTGTTTTCACAGAAGAACTTGCTCCGTTTGGCCGCACTTACGGACTCCCAGCGAACGCTATCACTGTTCACTCCGTCTATTCAAGAAGTGGTTTACCGCGCATGGACGTCGCCTTCTGACGCGGGCGAAGTTTCGGGTGGCGTAATGTCTCCCTTGAGCCCTGCACTTTCCCGGACACATTCTCAGGTTGGCGGGATGTCCTCCTTCCAGGATACAGCCAGCATGGTATCCTCACAGACTCGGTCTTCGACGAATACCCACACTTTCAGCAGCTACGGTCTGAGCTTGGGAGCCGGCCGCCATTCGAAATCCAATGCTCGCAGGCGGAAGAAGCGTGTGGTGGATCTGCGTCGTCCCAAGGCTCCAGAGGATGCCGCAAGTGTGAGCGGCGATAGCACCTACACCGAGACCACCAGTGCACCGTCTGTCTGCTCGGCACCTTTGCCGGTGGTCAGCGAACAGACCGATGACCCAGTGACTCCCCCGCTGTCTCCGAACAGTGAACTACACCTTCCCACGGTTCCCGAACGACATCGCTTGAGTATTTCCAGGCAGATGCCTCGCCGCGATATCGCGACTGAAATGTTGCGTGAGACCGGAGAGTCGTCGGCTCAGCCGGTCAATCACTCGGCGGTTGATGTTGACGCTACTCCGCGGGTGGCTGTACACCCCTATATTCCTGCTCAACATGACAACGAGAAGGGAGAAGCAAGCGCCTCGCGCCAGCTCCCTTCCAAGGCACTCCCATTCTCCGATACCAAGCCGACATCCAGCATCGTTGACCAAGCGCTGGTGGAACGACTGGCCGGAGAAATTGCTCGTCGCATGCGGGAGGAGAAATTGACCCCCGGCAATTCTTGCAGTTCGTTCTGGGATCGTCTCAGCCATGATGATGCCCCTCCGGCGTACGGTCAGTGACTAGTACAGCCTTGTGGGCGTCTTTGTACTCTTTTATCTTCACCTATTCTTTTCTCCACGGCTAGGATGCTCATACCCGTGCAATCCTCCCAGCTTCAGCGAGTCTGGAGCATTTCATGACCGATACGACACTGCATTTAATCTTGACTGTGCTTTACTGTGTTTTAATTGTTTCCAAGCGGGCTTTAGAACTCTGTACATTGATTGGACTGTACTCATAAAAGAATCTGGCGTGTTTTTTTTTTTTTTTTTTTTCTTCTTTTCTTTCTGATTTTTGACCTGCGTGAGCGATCTGTTTCTGAGGGATACCACTTCGCTCGCTGACTCTCTTTGACTGTGATTTTCTACTCTACTCTCCTTTGTCCATTCTTTCTCTTTACTGATATTTTTATGTTTGATTTGGGATTCGGAAGCTGGAAGCACGCAACCGATGGAGGAGTCAAAAGAATGACTGGCAAATCTGGGTTTAGTTTTGCCTTGCTGAATTGCCGTAGAGTTTCGAGCAATGCTACTGTATATTTTACTGATGAAATTGCGATAGCACGTATTCTCGCTTTGAAGCAATCACGATCGTAATAAGGAATAGTCATAATCCTCCGAAATCCCCACGATCGAAGCGTTCTCCTTATCTTTTGGGGGTTTGACGCCAGAGCGGTCGGCTCCACCGTGGCTCCGATCGGTTTGCGACGAACGTCAACCATTTAACTCAACCTGACGCCCGTTCGCTTCCCTCTTCTTCCCTTCCTTCCTCCGCCACGTCGCCAGTTTCCCTGCCCGTCCGTTCCCCAGTCCGTCCAATTCCCCATTCCTCATCATGGCGGGCCTGTTCAAGAACGTCTTTGGCGGTTCCCAGCCCTCGAACCCAGCCAAGGTTGACGATGGTGAGTCTCACAACACGCACACCCCAAACCCCAGCTTTTGCCTCGAGCTCTGTACCCCAGGAAAATTAACCCTTCCCCAAACTTCCTTCAATTGCTCCCCCAGCTCTAGTTCAACGCAACAAACAATTCCCTAATCACTTTTTTCCAATGCAGACTTCGCCGACTTCGTCGAAGCCCCGGAGCCCTCCCCGGCCTCCCTCGTCGCCGGGTCCTCATCCATCCCAGCCGTGAACACCCAAGGCGTCACCCCAGTCCCTTACACCAAATGGTACCGGGTATGGGAGCGGACCTCGCCGCGAGACTTCATGCAAGAAGCGACTGTGATGCCCATCATCCTCCTAATCATCCTCTTCCACTTCTGGGGCACGCGCAAGAACCGCCGCAAGGCGCGCGACTGGGCGCAAGCTCACACCTCCGCTCTGCAAAGCGAGTTCGCCGTTGTGGGTTTCGACGGCCCCAGCAGCAGCAACAGTGAAGGACAACCCGACCCCGAGTCTCTCCTCAAGGAACGCTCCGCTCAGGAATTCGCCTCTTACGCGACCGGTCGTCAGAACGTGGCGTTCGTGGACGTGGCCATTAAGCTCCCCAAGCGGTACAACCCCGTCACTTTCTGGACGGAGACTGTCCTGGGCTTCTTGTTTGAGAGCTGGTCCCCCCCGACGGAAACCTACGAGGCTACTGCGTACACCTTTGATGGAAAGGAGAAGGACGTTGTCCCGCTCCCGGCCAACGATCGCTCTTCCCTGAAGGTCAACAACTCGACCTACGATGGATTCATCTGGGCTGTTGTGCACAAGAACTACATGCGGAAGTTCCGTCAGGACCGCTACGACGCCAGCATCACTTTCACCAGGGATAACAACAAGTTGCCTAACTGGGTTACGGTTATGACGGAGAGTGCGGAGATCACGGATGCTTTGCTCACGAATGAGCTGGCCCAGGCTATTGAGAAGGCCGGCAATGACTTCAAGTACTTGATTGTTACTGACCAGCCTGTTGATAAGCCCATGAAGTGAGTTTCCCACCCTCCTTCCCCCCCCAAATAAATACAACCTATCCCTCAAACCGAGCACACGTGCTAATCTACACCCATCTATGCAGAATCGAGGAAACCACCCCCCGCAAGCGCATTGAACTGTCCGTCACTCTCCCCAGCAGCGCCGAAGGCTACAGCACCACCCTGCCGCTCTTCACGCAGTTCCTCCGTTTCGCCGACCGTCTCGTCGGCTCTGCCCACTTCCGCCCCGAAGTGATGCGCAAGGTGCGCAGCACTCGCGACGAGGAGATCAAGAAGCTGCGTCGTGCGGATGAGGAGGAGAAGGCCGAGGAGCGCCGACTCGCCGCCGAGAAGGTCAAGAAGGAGGACAGGGAACGTCTCCTTCGTGGTATGTCTGCCGATGAGCAGAAGAAGTACCTGGAGCGTGAGCAGCAGAAGGAGCACCGTCGGATGATGAAGAAGAGTACGCGTAGGGGGTGATTTCTGTTCTGTTCTCTTTCATTTATTGAACGAACTGTGGATTAGGGGAACGTGGACATCGGCTATCGAAGTCCCTGCTCAAGTTATGGTTTGGTGGTGAGGCTGTTCGTTCGTTGTATATCTTCATGTACAATGTATTCGTAATTTTTTTTTTCTTATTTGGATGATGATCTGGGATGATGGGGCTGGATTTGGTTGGAGCGATGCCGTGGGGTCAGTCGTGTTCTTGACTGGCTGCAGTGGTTTAATTGATCTACTAATGTATGTTGATGGCATGAAGGCCTTTTGGTTCTGACTACAAGTAGTTCCTTCGTATGACCGATCTATTGGTAGCCATTCAAGTCTATGATGCTCCCAGCCTCGTGTCTATATACCTGTGATAGATTGGGCAATATGTAGATCGAAATAGTGCTGCTAAGCAGCTCAAAGAGAAATACCCAACCAAGAAGACATCTACCCACGACGGGAGTAAAGTATGACACCCGATCTATAACAACAACACCAGACACTAATAAAATCTCACCAATATATACCCGGAATCAAGCCTCAGCAACCAAAAAGCTCATCAAGCTTCCCGCAGTCAACCCGCCTACGAGCATCAATGCCATGAACCCACCCGCAGGTTCACGTTCATCAGGAGACACCCACTGTCCAGCACCCATCATGCAATTACTCCCCAGGTACCCGTTACTAATGCCGAACAGCAACTGCACGACGAACAGGTAAAAGAAATCGCTTTCCACCACTGCACCTCGGCCGCGAATGTTGCAGAGGAGGTACAGCGGGATGAATGCGGCTCGAGCAATCGAGAAGAGGAACAGCACAAAGGGACGGTTCACTAAGGACAGACGGGGAAACAGGACGAGCATTCGGCCCATCAGATCACCTGCGTTCCAGAAGAAGAATGCAAGAGGGATGAAGACAGCCTGGTCGAAGAGTCGTGATCGTCCGGGAGTGTCGTGGACGGATTCGATCTCCGCTGTGAAGACGGGGAAGGTCATGGTGACGGTGAAGCAAAGGAAGATGGCTGTGGCCATGAAGCGGAGCTTCTTGAAGAGCGTCCACAGGCTGACGGACTTGTTCTCGGGCACATCTGAGTCGCTGTGGTCGTCTGTTGGGTCTAAGAGGGTTGATGATGCGCGTTGCTTTACGAGGGATAGGAAGGCCAACAGAGCGAAGGACGACACGGCTGTGGCCGTGATAAAGTAGGCAAAAGCGGATTTGGATGACTCTTGTGGTGCTTTTTGTCCTTCTTTCTTGCTTGGTACGGAGATCACGGTGAGGATCTGGACAATGCAGGGTAGGACACCCGCTACGCCTTGGCCGCCCATGATGGCTTGGGTATACTCCTCTCTTCCGAAGCCGGAGACGTAAGCGTACACGCCATTTTGATTTATTCCGGTCGCAAGACTGGCCCCGAATACCATGATCATGAGAAAGCCGAAGTATGTGCTCACTGAGACATCTTTCATTAGGATGGTGGAGAAGGCCAAGAGCGTGAATACCACGATGTTGATAAGCAGAGAGATAGTGACCCGCTTCGGATATGATGCTCCCTTCTGCAGCTTGGCCAGGATGAACGAGGAACCTAAGTTAGTAACGGTGGATACAGTCAATATTGAAGGTTGATAATGGGTTGCTGCCCAGTCGTCTGTGTGGAAACGGTGGTAGAAGTATGGTGCAGCAGCGAGGAACATGTTCCTATGATGTTCCGGTCTAGTTAGATAGATGCTTTCAATGCAGTTGCTGTAGGTTGGGACATACCATGCCCATAGCATCGACACTCCCAGGAGGAAGAATACTGCATATTCGTATTTGGAGAAACGGGGATGCTCCAGCTCCTCACGAGCAGAGTGAATGCTCTCATTGTCGGCGTCAACCGGCTGCTCGATTGCTTCATACGTAGGCCGGCGAGCGATCAGCCCGCGAATACGCTCCATTGTAGCGAGTTATTGGGTTGTCCCTGTTCGAACGATGAGAGGGGACAGGGAGTAGTACGAGACTCAGCCCATGATGGTGGAGGAAAGTGAGGCAGGGAAGATCGACGGGGAGGACAAGAAGATGAGCAGCAGCTGGTCATGAGGCGTGACACTCGCCAAGAGTGGTAATCCGCGGGTCACGTTGGGCTGGGTGACTAAGAGGCTTATCAATTCAATACCAACTACTAACTAACTACTAGTAACTTCAATAGCTCAACAGCTCGAATAGCATGTCGGCAATTGCACGCAGAGCATAGTTCAGAAGTAGAGATGGGTATTATATTTTATCTATCCAGTCACCAAAAGCTGAGCCACCCCGGTGTGGGGGGTATCCCGTCGATAGATAGTACATCCAGCTGAAGGCGACCCAGCTGTCTCGACAATAGTGTACTATGTGCTCCATACAGGAGCTATATACTCTACACTGCTGAAAACAAGATAACGAAGAAAAGAAAGAAAACAACAAATGGGTGTCCGGAAAGGTAGGCGCCTCCACATCTATGAAGTAGCGGACGCTCCTACTTCTTCTGCTGATCGCGTTCGCTGCTGGCATCTTCGATGTCAGCCTCAGCTTCCTCTTTCTCCAACTGCCACAATTTCTCTTCTGTCGCTGGGCTGATAGGGGCGTTTGCCGGCGTGTTCTCGCCACCACTGATTTGCCATTCCATCAGCTTTGTGAAGGCGCCGTCAGGACGAGAGCTAAGCTCCTCGTAAGTTCCCTGTTCGGCCACCTTTCCATCAGGGGCAAGCACGATGATTGTATCAGAGCGCTTTATGGTAGACAGTCTGTGGGCGATGCTGATGGTCGTGTTGTTTCCACGAAGAAGGGCAGCAAGAGCGCTGTTGACCAATGTCTCAGATTCTGCATCAAGAGCAGAGGTTGCCTCATCCAGAATCAAGATATCGGGATCTTTGATGAGAGCACGAGCAATGGCAATGCGCTGCTTTTGCCCACCAGAAAGTTGAGCGCCGCGAGGTCCAACCTGAGTATCAAGTCCATCGGGCTGCAAGAAGTTAGAAAAATGTACAATCAGAAAGCAAGTTGTCCACTTACAAAATCGCTGATGAACTGGCAGTTCGCCTTTCTGGCTGCTGCGATGATCTCTGACCTAGTAGCCCGTGGCTTGCCATAAGAAATGTTCTCAGCAATTGATCCCGAGAACAGGACAGGTTCCTGAGCAACAACACCAATCTTCCTTCGAAGGGACTTGGCGTTCATCTCGCTGATGTCTTGGCCGTTAATCAGGACCCGTCCTTCGGTTGGGTTGTAGAACCTCAATAGAAGCGAAGCAATAGTTGACTTTCCTCCACCCGAGGGACCGACGATGGCAACGTTCTTTCCTTGCGGGATCTCAAAGTTCAATTCCTTGAAAATAGGAACGGCAGGTCGCGTGGGATAGCTGAAGTTCACGTTTTCAAAACGAATAGGACCACGGGCCGATTCAACCTTCTTGCCCTTCGTCGGGGATATCGTTGGCTCACGATCCTGCAATTCGAAGAGACGACTAGCAGCTCCAACACCCTTCATCAGCTCGGAGTAGAAGCTAGAGAGACCGAACATGCTGGAACCGGCATAAGCAGTATACATCAAAAAGGATGTCAACTCTCCAATAGTGATGCCACCTGACTGAACCATGCCGCCTCCAACATAAAGCAATGCAAGGATTGTCATGTTGCCCATGAAGCCAGTCTGATTGTGCTGTCAGCTAAGTGGTAATAAGTGATAAGCGCACAAATACAGGGGAACATACGGAACTGAAGAAAGTAGCGCTAATCAAAGATTCCCTCTTGCCAAGCTCGAAGATCTTGCGCACTTGGTTATTGTACCGGTTCACTTCGAGGATCTCACCAGCAAAAGACTGGCTAGTCTTGACATTACCAAGACGCTCTTCCGCAATCTTGGTCAAAGTACCGAGGTTTCTCTGGATCTTGCGACTGAGGTTCCTTATCGCCCTACCATAGAAGAAGGCGCCGAGACCAATCGGAGGCAATAGCACAAGCAAGACACTGGACAGCTTGAGACTGACATAGGTCATCAGACCAAAGCCTGCTGCACCACTAACCGCTGCTCGTAAGCCGTCCGACAAGTTCTGCGTGATACTTTTGCCCACGATAATGGTGTCAGAACCGAGTCGTGAGATCAAGTCGCCCACTCTGTTCGCGTCGAAGAATTCCGCATCTTGCACAAAAGTATTACGGAAGAGCTTAGAGCGAAGCCTTGAGACAATGCGCTCTCCAACGATACGGAGGATGACAATGCGGCCATAGTTCGCAGCGGCACCCAGTGTAAGGATACCAGCTAAAGCTCCATAGAACATCGGTACACTCAAGCCGAAGAGCAGATTTCCACCTCCCTCTTCGTCAGAGGTCTTTGTAGCTGCATCCATGATTTTGCCGATGGAGAAGGGAACGGACATGGTGATCGATGACGAAATAAGCAGGAAAAAGAAAGCAAACCCGAGCTTTCTAGCTTCGGGTCGGGCAATGAGCAGGAGTCTCCATATTTCTTTGAAGCCGGCTTTCTTGTTACCAGATCCGTCTTTCGACAGCTTAGCAGCAAGGTTTACCTGCGCAGCCTGCGCTCCCTTTTCGGAGAGCTCGAAGCCCTTGTCTATATCTTCATCTTCCTTGTCCTGAGCCGTGGCGTTATTCGTTTGAGCAGATTTAGCCGTTGAGTTCACTGGCTTGGATTCCAATGACCGTTGCGAAGAGGAGAAGAACCGAGTTTGCGCTATTAATTGCGACCGTATGATATCGAACCGTGAACCGTTACTTTGACGGGTGGATAGACCAGACGTCAGCGAGAAATTGTTGCGTAATGAACCCGAAATGCCCGAGAATTGTCGGCTAGGAACGCCAAAGATGCCAATTCCAGATCGATGTGGCCGAGCTCCAAAGTAAAGCTCATTTAGTATGCCCCCATTCATCTGAGCTCCCCGTCTGGCGGTGACGCCGGGGGCCCAGGAAGCCAGCAACCTGGCTCCGCGCATTTCGGACGATAGAAAGCGGATTCGGATGGCTGCTCAAATGGATGCCAAACGGAGTAATCAGGGTGCCATATCCCACTAGACAGCCCGGTGTCTGCTAGATCTCATGACAAATCAAAGATAAATCGCTCTCCGGGAGACTGCTAGACGCTTGGAAGGCAGAACATGTTAGCCGTGAAGCCGCGAGTCCGGCCATCGCCGTTCGGCCTCGCATCGGCGACGGTTCTGCCTGTGGACACCGCCTGCCCTAATTCCGCTGCCGTCGAAGCTGGTCGAGAGCTTTCGATGATCCCTCAGAGCTGGGATAGGCT